ATGCTTTCTAGAGCCTAAAATCTTTAGCATCATGTGTAGACTTTCTTCATGGAAACTCTGAACAACAAAGCATATAGCATGTTCACTGTTGTATGTGAAATGCTTTTGAACCATTCTATAATGAGCATGCTATTCCTGTGGACAGGGAAGAAGAAGGAGGAGGCAGCTTAAAAGGTCATCCTCTTCCATCAGAGGCTGCTGAGGATACTGCTATTGCTCAGGACTACTGATTTCCGATGTCCAGAATAATGCCCACCAGCTAGTACAATGTGTGTCTGTGTTAAGGTGCTGCCATCCATCCCTCTGGAACAAACAGAGGAAATGCATCAGGAGGACTAGGCTGCAGATGGAAAGCACATCACCGCGTGGCGCTTACGCTGCAAAAGCCTCCAGATGAAAGCCAATTTCAATGAGCATTGTGTTTCAAGGCCCACTTCCTCTGGCTCTGGAAAGCTTAAGAAGGAACATCCCACTTGTGTCTGCTGACACAAAGGGCTGCTGTGGCTCGAGAGATGTTATCAGCCTTCCTGTACCACAGCAACAGCGTTCCAGTGGCGTCTCCCAAGAATTGCTCATTGTTCCAAGGGAGCCTGGGCTCCTTTGGGTGGGATCCTGTGGCATCCAGCTCAGATGGAAGTAGGTGGTGCTGGGAGGCCAGCCAGGATCATGACGAAGATCTCTGGCTATGAGGGAGCTACAGTGGGGGGACCAGGATAACAAAGTCTTTCATAATTACAGATGTGGAGACTAATTCATAAAATGCAGCTATTTTTATTGGCTATATTTCTTAAGTACCATTAGGAGTGATCAGATCCCTGAAACACATCAGATTCAGCTCCTAACATTGGCAGAAACAGAAAGTAAGATGTCCTTGCCTTTTGTTCCTGTCTTTCCCATAACTGGCAAGTCAGACCTTGATTCTGTCATAGATGCCTTAAATGGGGAAATGAGGAATGACCAATGTTTATAAAACCCTTCATTTGAAATCCAGACTGTAGGGGAGAGAAGCATGACCTTTGGTAAGCTCCAGTCAAGTTCAGTTTGCAACAGCCTCTTGTAAGGTAGATGCATGTTCACGTTATCCAAACCTCTCGTCTCTAAAATTAGAGTGGAGGTATAAAAAGCAGCTTCCCTGGAAGACTTCCTAGAACTGGTCCTTCCAGTGCCAACTGAAGATAGTGGGAACCATCAATTTTTTAACTATGTGTTGGTGCTGGTACTCCCAGATTGAACCTCAAAGCACAAAAAAGGAAAAGAAAAAATGATTTGAAGAGGTGTTTATTTGTTCTTTTTTTTCCCCCTCCCTCTCTCTCTCTTCCATCTTACCAGTAAATACATACCTGAATTCTTTTTCTTATCTCCTCTCCTTTCTTTCTTTCTTTCTTTCTTTCTTTCTTTCTTTCTTTCTTTCTTTCTTTCTTTCTTTCTTTCTTTCTTTCTTTCTTTCTTTCTTTCTTTCTTTCTTTCTTTCTTTCTTTCTTTCTTTCTTTCTTTCTTTCTTTCTTTCTTTCTTTCTTTCTTTCTTTCTTTCTTTCTTTCTTTCTTTCTTTCTTTCTTTCTTTCTTTCTTTCTTTCTTTCTTTCTTTCTTTCTTTCTTTCTTTTTAAATCAGGACAGTGGGAGATAAACTGCAAAGAAAAAATCTCTGCCAGCAGCAATTTCTTACATATAAACTTCAGAGATTGAAAACATATGTTTTGGAGAAGTAAGGAAAAAAAGCAGAAGAAAAAGAAATAGACAGAGATTTTCCAAAAAGAGAGCATTTAGACTGCCTTCCAAGCAATGGAAATTCCCATTTTAGAAATTGTGCTACAGGCTAGTAATGTAAAACATTGTTGGCTATGGCACATGGAAAAAAATAAAAAGAGGAGAAAAAAAAGAGTTTTTGTAATTCTTTCCCTCTTGTCAGAGGAATGACGTGAAGTCAGTCAAGCACATCATGGGGAAATGCTTATTTTTCACAGATACAGCATAAGAACATTCAGCTAATATCTATCATGCATAACTATGTCTTGTGCCAGTGCCAGTGCCGCAGAGGTGTATCATTGTTTGGTAAAACACAGACTTGCGAGATTTCCATCAGTGATAACGCTGAAAGCCACAGTTGGCATCCCCACAGTCAGCATGTAGGGAGCCTGGCAAACTGAGGACTGAAGTTCATGGCTTAGTTCTCCTAAAATAACATTGTTGTTTTGTGTAGCATATGCTGTAACTCCATGACAACCCAACCAGGAAAGCTGGTGGCTGAATAATGACAACAATGCTGAGTTATCTCCTGATAACCTCACTCACTCTGTTTGTGGATGAAGTGTCATGTTAGTCAGCTGCTGATGGCATGTTGTCACCAGCCTCCATCAGACAGAGGGAGAGAGGTTTTGGAGGAACTGCTGACAAATAAGGCCAAGTGCCTGGACTAAGTGGTTACCTCAAGAGCAAATTTGGCCTCTGGCTATATTTAACCCACTTTCTCGAGGATGCTGTGCTGTTTTTGTAGAGGCAGAGCAGATGATACTTGTAACACATGGGCACAGTAATGAGCACAGATATATCCTCTGTGGCTCCTGGAGTTTACCATGTGGTCATGGAGAAAGAATTCCATACTATTAACAACTGAAATTATGGCAGTGAGGTATCACTAGCAAAGGAAAAAGAAATCATTACAAATGCATGGCACAGAGAAATTCAAGTGTATCTGAAAAAAATCCCCAGTTCACTTCAAAGTCTGATATACAGATATTTGGCATGGTTCATTGCAAGAGAAAAAAACAAATCTGTAATTGTATTCCCTCATTACAGACCAGTTTGTGGCAAGTACTTCCAAATTCATGTCAGAAAAGTCTGAAGAGTGCCAATGATTATAATTTCATTGGCCATGAAACCAGTGTCAGTTCAACTGAGTTTTGACAGGCAACTGTGGACATAACAACTAGTGTCTGGGTATATCTTGAGATAGCCATATAAATAAAACAACATACAACTGTAAACATTTCTCTGCATAGAAAAGACAGTCAGAGTAGTGAGAATGAGCCATCACTACAATTGCACACACTGTTGCATAATGTTAATATTTTTAACATTAATATTTTTAATATTTTAGTCTTATAATCCACTACAAAACCATAGATAAAATTTGGACTTCAGCTTTTAAGTAAGTACAAATGAAAAAGGGTGCAAATCCTTTACTTGCTACCATGTCAAGATGTTTAGCTGCATTTAGGTACCCTTGGAAGCAGAGAAATTACTGCATAGATAGAAAAAAATGACAAGGGACAAAACCAGGGAAAAGCTTAAAGTATCACCATACTTAGCCAGATGTCTGCTAATTTATAGTGGTCTGGCCATGTTACATCTCTGGACTGAGCTGTGTGAAGGTCAAGAGCAGATATCAATACGAATAAATATCTTCAATGTGTCAGCTGAGCATTTCTCTTCTAACCTGGGAAATTTTGCTGCTCAGTCCTGTAGGTAGTAGCAGACTGGAGCATTTGACTTATGACATTGTACTTAAGCACTCTAAAATAGGGGTTAAGTAGAAGTCAAATATCTAAGCTTTGCACTCCCAGCACTGCTTAACTGTAACTCCTACTGATCTGTGAGCTGCACCATGATGTGCTTTGGAGGCATTCAGTTTGAGTCTGTCTATAAATTCAGGCCTCAAACTGCACTGACACAATCATCTGATCTGAGTAGCCAGCTTTAGCCTTTGTGCCAAATGTGATAATAAAGGCAAATAGGAGCTATTAAAATATTCTAAATTTGCAAGCAGCTTCAGGAAGGGAACTCCTTTGTTAAGTACAGTAAAAAGCCCTTGTGGAATAAATGCATCCATATAGGTCCACTGGAACCATCATCAGGAGAAATTAGCTGCTCACTTTGGACCTACTGACAATGAAGGAATGACAGTTGTGTTGCAAATAACAAAGAGTTCCTTTGGGAGCAGTATAACTCTTCAGTCAGATGGTGATAAATATGGGTAGCTTCTGGACAAAGCTAGAGGGCTGCCAGGAATAGTGACTTGCTGAGAAGATTTATGTACTTTTGTCTCTGTTCCCAGTGTGCAAGTTTAAAAGACTTCAAGGCAATTTTAGACTAGGAAGAGTCACAGAGCTGACAAGAGAAGGAGACAGAGATGGTAAAAGTACTTAGTAAAATTGGAAAAAAAATGCTGAGAATCACTTGCTAAATGAACAAGTTAGTTACAAATTTCTTGACTGTGTATCCCTTTTCTTCCTCACCCAATGGCACTCTGATGACTGAATATTTCTTACAGCTTCCTCATTCAACGTTCCTGTTAATAAACAGTTAAATAGGTACTCTTTTCTGATGCCTTTTTTTTTTTTTGTCTCTTTCATTTGTTTTGAAGATGCACATTCTGAAGAGATGGCATCTGTGATACTGCATGGATTGTCCTTCTCTAGTTGCCATTTGGGAATACAGTCAGCTGACATCTACTTGTAAGGTTATTTATACTGCTTGAGCATTAAAAACAACTGCAATCTTAATGAGATGCATAGGATCAAGGGGATAAACTAAGGTGGTCTTCCCTTCCAACAAATGCCATCCATTCTTGCCTGTAGGCCACTTCATATTGTTTCTGGGCAGTTTGTGTTGTCAGGGAGAAAATATGGAAGAACAGCTTATCATTGCTGTTCCCTTAGGATAAAGGGCAAGGACTATCTTGACCATGCACAGTGGAGAAGTCAGAATCTGGTAAAGATGTGGCCTGGCACATATTCATTCTTCTCATCTAATCAATACATCTCTCACCAGATTTATTTGCTCAGCTTTGTTCCCTGATGACTTGCTACAGTCATGGCACTGTAACTTACTTTTGAAGTAAACACTACACCTTGTGCCTAGAATTTCTGAGAGACAGAATCACAGAATCACAGAATTGTAGGGGTTGGAAGGGACCTCTACAGATCATCGAGTCCAACCCCCTGCCAAAGCAGGTTCCCTACACCAGGTCGCATAAGTAGGCGTCCAGGCAGGTCCTGAACATCTCCAGAGAAGGAGACTCCACCACCTCCCTGGGCAGCCTGTTCCAGTGCTCCGTCACCCTCACCGTAAAGAAGTTCTTGTACACATTTGTGCGGAACTTCCTATGCTCCAGTTTCTGGCCATTTCCCCTTGTCCTGTCTCCACACACTTCTGAGAAGATTCTGGCCTCGCCACTCTGCCTCCCACATCTTAGATATTTATAAACCTGGATCAGGTCCCCTCTCAGTCTTCTTTTCTCAAGGCTGAACAGACCCAGTTCACTCAGCCTTTCCTCATAGGAGAGATGCTCCAGGCCCTTCACCATCTTCGTGGCCCTCCGCTGGACTCTTTCCAAGAGATCCCTGTCTTTTTTGTACTGGGGAGCCCAGAACTGGACGCAGTACTCCAGATGACGCCTTACCAGGGCAGAGAAGAGGATCACCTCCCTCTACCTGCTGGCCACGCTCTTTTTAATGCACCCCAGAATGCCATTGGCCTTTTTGGCCACAAGGGCACACTGCTGGCTCATGGCCAGCCTGCCGTCCACCAGGACGCCCAGGTCCCTCTCTGCAGAGCTCCTCTCCAGCCTGTACCCCCAACCTGTACCATTGCATACAATTATTCCTCCCTAGATGCAAGATTCCACACTTGCTTTTGTTAAACCTCATTTGGTTTAACAGAGGACTGTTGCTTTCTATGTGGACAGTCAAGGCTTTCTATGGTACTTTTAGAATATCACAGTAGAAAAAAGTTCACTGGTCTCAGCCACTACAAGCAATCCAAGATTAGTGAGTACAAAAAACCCAAACCAAATCAAAACAAACAAACAAAAAAACAAACAACAAAAACATCCACCTAACAGATTTTACAACAACAACTATATATAGCTTTGCAGGAGGTAAGGCTAAATCAGCCTGCTACATGAAGGCATATAGTCATCAGCAATGAGAACTAGGAAGAAATGCTTCATGTGTAGCAATACCTAATTGGGTAAGAGCAGCACGTTTTTGTCTGAAATTCCATTTTATCACCATGTGCTACTTGTTACTACCCAGGCTGAATACTAGATGGAATTGACTGCTGCTTCACTCCAGCAGTCCAAATCTATGTTCTAAAATGATAACTATTTTTAGGAATGCAAATTAATACAGAGACCCAGTGAATAAAATTCAGACTTCTTGTCTTTACCTCAGGAAACCTCAACTTTTTATATCTGCAAAGAAATTATCTTATTTTCTGTCTTCTATGTCAAGACTTGACTTTGTCACCTTCTACTTACATAGCACAATTTTGTTGTTTCTTGAACAACAATCACAGCACAATGAGAATTGCATATTACAGTGTGATTTCATGAGTGGAGTCTGTTTGCCTATTAGTGAATTGCAAATTAAAAGAAGTGGTTCTTAGCCCAGATGCCAAATGTCCTTCATACATGCAGCTCTGTTCTGGTGCTTCTACAGCAGACTGGCTACTACATTCATTCTTTGTAACAATTGACCCTGGGTCTCCTTATGTCCTACAGAGAACTTATTGGGTTTTAAGACATAATGATTATCCTTTCTGTGTTTTGTTTGGTTTTTTTTTCCTTTTTTTTTGAGTTCAAATTCATAGAAATAATGACAGGATTGCTTTGCAGCCCATCGAGCTGGTGTTTTTCTGTCTGCAGACTGAGGACACACATTGAATGCTGTGGCTTGAGGCTAGAGGCCATGTGGGTTCATTGCAGGGAAAAAATGCATATCAGAGGACTATGTAAGGCAGGGGGAGCCAACTCTAGAATATCCATTAAAACCTTGAAGAGTAGTGTTTTGAGTGTCTTGTCACTCAAACTGCACTGGGAAATCACATCCAAGAAAGCTAGCTGCAGTTATCCTCACCAAAGCAAGGTAACACTTAAGCAGTGTAGACACTTGTATGTGTGGCACTCAGCTGTTTTTTTTTCCATTTATCAATATATCTCTCACAGACCCTGGTGTGAAGGTCACCAAAAGCTAAAAGCAAGGGCTTACAGCAGGAAGCTCTTCAGGCTTACAGTCACAATGAAACTAGCAGAGAAAAAACTCTGTAATATGTGCTTCCCTTTCAGGTATACCTCTGTCTGGCGGGCCAAGTTCCAGTCAATGCCAAACTGCTTCTGTGACAGTTTTGGACTGGCATTCAAAAATTAAACTGAGAGTAGTTTTTGCTACTTCTGCAGTTACCTTCCTCTTTTTCTTCCCTGCCTACCTGGTCTTTACCTCAGTTTCTTTTCATCAGTAGAGAGGGAATCAAATGTTAGCTCAGTTAGATAGATGTACAAAAGTCCTTGCAGCCTGACAGTAAAGCATCCATCCCAGCTAATGTACAGCTGAGGAAGATGTGCTGTTCTCTCCTTGGTGATTTCTGATTTGTTTTCTGTTATTTATTCTGAAGACTTTTCAAACAAGTCTGGGGACCAGACACGTGAAGAGCAGAGCGTGGCACATCAAGTTTCCTTTGTCTCTGATCCTGCCTCAGAGATCCAACACAGCCATACACTCATACTGATTTATGAGTATATCAACAGCAAATATTCACACAACCCCTTTGGACCTCCTCCACTTCCCCAGTCATCCCCACAGAGACATTGGGTATATTAATTCCAGCTGGGCAGACAAGTTCAGAGCCCTTCTGGAAGAAAAGTGGTGAAACAGAAGGAAGAGAGACGCTTTTTTGGCGCTGCTTTTTTTTTTTTTTTGCTACAGGAAATGAAGAGACAGCAGTCCAGACAGCAGAGATGACAGGTCATGGAGCGGGCGCTTCCTATGAGACAGGAAGCCATGCTGGCCCTCACATGGAGCTCTGGCTGTCTGCAGGCCTCCGTTCCCCTCTTTGCACTTGGACTGTTGATCTTTACACCATGACGGCTCCAAAGATATGCTGCAACCAGCCAGGCAACCTGCAGTGGGAGAGACTGGTTAGACAGCTCAGCCTCTAATGTTGGGTTCTGCCATCCAGCAGCAGGCCCAGCAGGGTTATGAAGAGGCTGGTGGTGCCAGCTAGAGGACCTGGAGTATTGGGTAGCAGAGATGCACAGCTGAATTGTTGTGGGTTGTGAATGATGGACAAGGAAAGAAGAATAGCAGACAGACAGACAAAATACTTAAAATGTCTCTTTATTTTTACTCTTTCGTGCCTTAAAGGCCTAGGAATATTATAAATGTGATTTATTAAGGTGTATATGAGGAGAATGTAATGAAATCAATTTTGAAAGAAATTACAACTCTGTCTTCCAGCATTATATGTTTGCAATATAAAATTTTGAATTGCTCTTATTGTAGCTGCTGTTTATATTTCACAAGTGTTCAAGCTCTATGTGTGAACTGAGTGGTCAGCCATGTCCAAGCACAATGAGCTTAAGACTCCTCTGAGTATTCATGACTTATGGTCTAAGGACTGCGTGTGTGAGACCACATTAATAGATTAGAGGGGAAATTCTGGGCTCCTGGAAATAAATGTTTACAAGAATAAACATATACATATATGTTTGTACCCAGGTTTTCAGTTCCTACAGGTTTAGTTGAAAGTACCAGAGGGTCAGCCCTGACTCCAAATTAGCTAATCCAGCACTGAAACAGACAGCCTTTCCTGCTCTGTGTTGGCCAGCAAAGGCCCTTTGACACCTTTGCATTGCCCCAGAACGGTTCTAACTTTTGAGACTTCTACAGTAGGCAGGACATTGTATCTACCAGCCCTTTAGAGCCTGATCTACTGTTGGTACAATCACCAGCGAGGGGTCTCTGTCAGGGCTTTTATTCTCATGAATGTGCAAGATGGCAATTTGGCCTCCTATACCACAATTGATTTTGATTTCAGTGATGCTATCATCTGCACTATCATGATTAATGCTATCAGTGTAAGTATATTAACTAATGTCATTAATATTCAGAGTTAATTTTCTTCAGCCCAATTATTCATCTTTCTTGAACTCAGGGACAAGATGTGACATACTGTTTTCAGGTTTAAGTTTTTAAATGATCTCCCAAGACAAAACATGCTAACATCTTAAATAACTGAAAGTGTGAAGATAAAACAAACAAGCAGATATAGGAACATAAAAAGCAAGCTATGTAAATATCCCGACTTATTTTGTCTTTCTGAAAAATAGAGTGTAATATAGCAAAGAGTAGAGACCAGTGAAGATCAGAAGCCTTTAGGTTTTCAAATTGTTCCAAAAGTTAAGTTGTGGTGGAGCAGATAGAAGTCTGCTTTGCATTTGTGGTTTGTGCTGGAAAGTATGTAACTGTCAGTAAGAGGAAATGTGACTTAGTGAAATGCTGAGATACTTATACACTGTTAAGAACCAGCTACCAAATGGAACAGACGTTGTTTTCAGGATTATGGGAAGAAGATTAAAACAGCGTAAGAGTTATGCGGTGAAATTACTGGAAACTGGTTAACTACAGAAGTTGTGGAAGGTGATTTTATATTTCATTTACTAAACTGTGTGCTTTCAAATGGATGAATGCTCTTTTAAAGTACCTTGCCTTTATTTCATTTAAGCTGAGAGCACTGTAACTGGTTTTCTTATATTTCATTTAAGTTCAACCATTCTGGACTACTACATTACACAGTGAACATACATAGAGATTGCTTAAAATATTTTTAAAATCAATATAAATTTGTTTCAAGATTGAATTGGTTCACTGAAAAAATAAAATAAAGCAGAGAATAGAGTTTTAGGAATTATTAAGGAATGGTTCCTGCTAAAAAGGTTACATTTTTAAGATATTAACAAGATTTCATATTGTAAAGAATTCTAGTAATTTCTTACTTATCAGAATTTTTTTAAGATCTTTGTTCCTTACTTAAGCAAAGCAAAACAAAACGAAACACTACACTAAGCTCTTGTATTTGGAAAAGACCACGGAAGTACACAACCCTGATTCCATTTTGCACATAAGCACTCTGTTACCATAGCAGTTTTGCCTTTTGTAGTGTTGTGAAATAGCCAGGGAAGTCCAAGTGAATTATTTCATCTTCTACAGAACAGGAAAACATACTGGAAAAATTCCTGTGACAAATGCAAGCTGTTGTCTGCTGTCCAGTCCCTGCTCTTACTGTTGCACATAGCAGGAGGGTTACCAGTGGAAAATTAAAGCTTTGTAAGTCTGACTCTACCTTAAAATGATTGTGCTGGGTAGATCGTGCTACTCTGCCTATTTTCTTTTGTAACCATGTGTGCCAGAGCCAAGTATGTTTAAAGTGATCCCCTGAGTTCACAAGTGCTTTGTGTTGCTGGACTGCCACAGAATTGTAGGAGTAGATGGATGAATTTGATTCCAGTCTGCTGGATTCAAAGGAAAGTTGGACAGAGTCCATCCACATGATGCTTGCATTTTAAGTGGAGTATCTGCTTCAATAAGCAATGTTTGCTGCATAGGTTGAGTTTCAGCTCAGGTGTCCCAGCTGAAGCGTGATCTGAATTCAGCCCAGTATGGGAAAAAAGTGCTTGAGCACAGACGCTGGGTTTTAGGTCAAACAAATAGTTTCTGCATGAGATGAGAATTCTATATTTCATCACGACAGTGACGGTTCTCATCCAAAGGAAGACTCCAGATGAATTCGATAGCTTTGCAATAGGCTAATGATCATAATTTATGCTTCTCCAATCTCCCCTTTATTTCCTTTCAAGTGTTAGATATCCATTTTCCTGTAGATAGTCACACCTTTCCTACCTGTTATTTTTTGTTTGCATTTGACAAATATGTTAGAACCCTTCGCAGACAGGAGAAGAGTCAGACAGAGAGAGAGACCAGAGTTGTTAGTCAGCTTTGGGATGTTTCTCAAGTCCTACTGAGAACAAAATCCAATTTGTGTTTGTTGTTCCATAATTCTGTCCTATGGTCATCAAGTTAAGTATTTGCTTTGTACTCCTGAACAAAAAAAGCCTTAAGAATTTCTGCTAAGTACATTTGTTAGTCACTGTTTGGTGAGTGCTTTGAATAAATGCTAGCTTCTATTTGCTTGTATTAAGAGAGCAGAACATTTTATTTCCAAAGAAGTTAAACATGTTGACTAAACTGATGTTTAGGTGTTAGTCTTAAATTGTTCCATGGTTGTCTTTCTTACTCCTCCTCACCAGACAGAATCTCTCACCTTGGACAAACCTAGAAGTTTTCCACAGCCTTTTTAATCTGTACATGCACATTTTCCAGGCCTGACAACTTTCCTTTTGTTACAAAAATTAATCAAAGGAAAACCAAAGAGAATAAGCAGCATCTTATTAAAATATTGCTGTTATTGTGCTCTATATCAATCAATTGTAGGAAGAATTTATGAAAAATTAAACAAAATGTCAAAAAGTTGGTTCAGAGAAAGCAAACACATACAAAATTCAAAAAAATCTACATAATTGTGCAAATCAATTATTTCCTATAGTTTAAGGAAATGACCATTCTGAAATCAGTTTTTACTTTGTGCTCTTTGAATGAGCACATTGACACTATCTTACAGAGACATCTGAGAATACATTCAGCTTTATCTAAGGATAAGGAAGGATGTCAAATGATGAAATGGGCAGATTTAAAATTCAGCAGCATGTCATATTCCCTTTCTTGACTACCCCTGTCACCATATTAGGAGCTGGTCACACAACAGATCCTACATGTGGAAACATCTGTTGTGATCACTTACACTGTCCACATGCAGATCCACCTTGTTGGCTCTTTCACTGTGTGTCAGGGTTTGGTTTGTGTCAGTGAATTTTTTCTTGTTCTGCTCTGTACTTTAATGCAGTGTTGTTTAATGCACTATTCTGCCTGCACTTTCGAGTGGAGAATTCTGATTGTGGAGGACCCTGACCATAGAGGACCATTCCTCATACTTCAAATGATCTGGGAATTTTGCCATAATTGTTTTCATTCATTATACTTGGTGTTTTGCTGAGAGACTATTTTGCTATTTCTATTTTCCCCAGTTTTTGGAGACTATATTTTGCTGAGTAAGTGAGGAAACAGAGGTCTGAGACTCTTCTCATCCCTTCTTATTGATAATGTTTGAAGTGGTCAAAGTTCATGAGATCTGTGGGTAGTCTATTGTAGAGTGTAGGGAACATGGGATGGACAGGAGAGAAAAGCTTTCAGATTCAGATATTTCTTGTTTGCTCCAGGCTAACAGAGTGTTTCCAACAGAGAAATAGTGAAACTCAGCATAGGTAAGATGGAGTGTTTCTTTGATTCCTCCTAACTGAAGAGATTTTAATCATGTGATAAGGAGAAAAAGCCTGCAGTTTTCAAGGGGAGATGCTCCCTATTTATGATGAAAAAAGTGGAACTTGACAAAATAAAGGCTTTTATTTCAGTTCCTGAAGCAACTGTTTCTTTGTGGTGGCTGAAGAGTTTGTTGCCAGAAAAATGTTTTCCTTTATACATTTAAGAAATCTTCCAGCAAATAGGTAACCCGATGCTTGAATAATAAACAAATAAATGAACAGATTTTCTTCCATTAAAGCAGATTTTCTTCCTACTACACTAAAATTTGAGTAAGAAAATTACTCCTACAGCTCTTGAAAAATCTGAAGGAAATCAAAGTACTTTTCTAACATAACAAAGTGGTTTTGTAGGGAAGGAGCAATCCTAAGAGAAGAGTTTTCCTTTTAAGATGATTTCCTCAAACACTTGAGAGAAATTAGCACTTTGAATACCTTCAGTTCTTTTCTTGTATCACACATATGTACATTTTGGTTACTTGGAAATAAAACGGTGACAATAGGAAGTAAGTGGTAAACATGTAAATTATTTGTGGCTGTTTAATGGATATCACAGTCTCTAATAATATTCTTATTTAAGTACCACTCAGAGTGAGTGCATAGAAGTACTCCTTTCATAGGAAGAGCTGCAGCCATTCATCAACAGTTCTTTAATGAGGAGGTAATAAAGCTTTCTGAGTATTGCTGCTATTTCATTTCTAACCTTTTTTTTTTTTTTTTTTTTTTTTTTTTTTTTTCCCCCAATCAAATGAAAATACATTTCAAACTCTGTTTTCTTGTTATTCCCACTGGCAAGCATAGTGCTGAATAATTCAGCAGATTGAGTAGCCTACGCCAAGCATATAACCCCAAATCCCCAGTCTTACAAAACTCAATTTCAAGTTTCTCACCTTAAGCAATACATTTAATAAATTATGCATTTTTCCCCTCTAATATACATTTTCCAATGGATTGCAAATAGCCAAGACACTATCCCTTGATACTATTCATTTTCATATTAAAGGAAGAAAAAAAAGCTGAATATGGTATAAATATTCCCTAACCAGAACTCTTACTGTTTTGTTTTGGTGGTTTTATTTTTCCACTGAATCTAATCCTGGGAAAATGTAGGTATATAGGAAAATTATTCTGAGTTCCTGTAATCTGTACCAGTTACTATTACAAGAAGAAAATGAGAGGTAAACATTCAATTAAATGTATAATCATCTCTTTGTGTGATTTGCCAAATATATAATTTATTCTAAATTTACTGGGAAAAGTACAGAAGAAGTAATAATCAGAACAGCCTGGTAATTAGGTATGTATCCTCTGGCACGTGGCCTGGCCTATTTCAGACCAGAAGTGGATCTGAGCTGCACATTTTTGATGCAGATCTTGACTGATTATGAACTCTTCAAGTCAGTGTGTTTGGCTTAGAGTCCTGGCAGAGCCCAGCTGCAGCCTGCATCCTGCTCATATTCCTGCATCTGTTGACACTCAATGAGATTTTGGATTGAATTTCAGGCTCTCTCTCTCATGCACATCACCAAAAGCAATTAAGATGTTAGGCAATCTAAGACACTGTGAAGCTTCAGGGTTCGTTAAAATTACTTCTTATTCTCCACAGGAGAAATGGAGAAAAGAAACCAACAACTTCTATGACTTCTCCCGACCTCTCATCTTTTGCCTCTGAAAGCAGAGAAAGAAGAAACAAACAAGTACCTGTATTAGTAATAGGCACGCGTCCTTGCAGGGAGATCAATTCATTTCCATTAGAGTTACAAGTGGAAGTGGAGCAGCGATCTAAAATACAGGGCCTTTAATCAAACAGCTTTCCTTATTCTCCACTGAGATTTCTGATTTAGTTCCTTGCCAAATTAACCTTGAAGGTATAACAAGGCCTTCTAGATCCCAACATTTGACTGCAAAAATGCTTTTGATTTTTAAATGTTCTATGGCAGGAGTTAAGAACAATGTTCTGACATCATTAAATAGGCAATATTATTATTATTTATAATCCTTGTATAAGGCAAGGTCCTGATCACTGTGCTTTGTAGCCAGATATACAGAAATGTTAATATCCATCTTCAGATTCCTGTAGTCACACTAAAAGAGGCAGATTCTCTCACTTATTGTGAGCACTATTTACCTACTGAACAGAGCAAGACTGTTTTGCTGTGGCAAAATACTATCCTGCATGTGCTCACTTTGCTCACTTTCCTATCCCATATATGAGAAATGACCTTCACTGGTTCCCCTCATTTTGTGAAACGAGTAGGAACAGTTGCACAGGAGAACCTCTTGAACATGCTCATGGCCTTCTGAAGTGGAAACAAGGGTTTTTAATCTGTGTGTTAATGGAATGTGACTGGAAAGGTGCTTATGGCTCTGGGCTTAAAGAAAACTAGAAACAGAAACAATAGAAACAACTAGAAGGTATATAATGAGGAAAAATTCTTCAGTAAGACCAAGAGCAAATTTTGCATTGTACCTACCTTCTATTTGACAGATGTGACATTTCAGAAGTTTGTGCAAAGGCTTTACTTCTCCTTGAAAGACATTTTTATATTAGACAGGACTTTCACAGTTTCTTCCACAGCACTAAAAGACTGCAACTTAATCCCATCTGAAGAAAATAAAAAGAAAACATCAGATACATTTTAGAAATAGGAATAAGAATAGCAATAGGAATAAGTGGCTATTTATCTTTCTCTGGTAAGACCTACTTGAGTTGACTAGGCTGATTCAGTCCCATGGAGAGTAATGATATATGAAAAATAAATATTAAAAAATGTATGTTATAAATATGAACAATATATATATACATACACACACATATATATAATTCAAATCTTTCCGTCTAGCATATACAATCATTATAATTAGGAAATGTATAATTTGGCAGCTTGTTTGGTAATAGCCTAAACTAGTTTTGTAATATTGTAAGCCCACCTCTGCTGTCTTGAGAAATGTTTCTTAAGAGCAAATAAACGGCAAAACGAAAGGCTTGCACAGCACTTCACTGGGAGAAGAAACTCTATGACTGACATAACAAAGGTTTTCATGTCCTTAGGGTAGTCGGTATTAGAAGAACATGAACATGAGAAGAAATCCATTGAAAAAATGGATCAGAAAAACATCATGCAGAAGTTATTAAAGCATTTCCATGCTGTATACTGTGACATAGTTTTCTGTTCCATGATCTGGAACTTCTCTGTTCTCGTACTCTGACAACTGCTTAAGTTCAAACAACTACTACAAGCCCAGCCTCAGCCAGAAAAGCTGGCTGGTATCTAGTAAACATTATAATTTGAGTCTTTCACTTCCAAAGCTTGAGGGAAGAAAGGAAACATGAGGGAAGGCAGAGGGCGGGTGAGAAAGGGGATGAGAAGATCTTTACCTCTGTAAATGCCACAAAGTGTGAAAACTGACCTAGGAGATATGGGGTCTTACTTCAGAAAAGTTTTGTTTTCAATTCATGAGTAAGTTGGAAGAAATAACTAAAAAGGCTGAGAAGGGAAGACAGAAAAGAACCCGTAGGAGGAACCCAGGCGGTATGAAATGGGATGATTTGGTCAAGCTACACAAGAAATATATAACATGTGAGGATGGGGCACATGTAGGGATGGGTTATAGGTACTGCAAAGGGGAAAAGCACTCTCTGGGCAAAGTGCTGACAGTGTGAACAAGCATGTTGATAGGCAATTGAAGAGGTGCCAGCACTTATTTTCCCTGTTAAGATGACTGTGACATTGCCTGTTGTGCTCTGATTTTCTTTCTAATTTTTGTTTCTGTTTGTTTTCTCTTTATGCATGCCAAGTGTATAGTGACATTTTACACAGTACTGCTCTATATTGCTCTCCAGGTTGGAGAAGGGCCTGGTGCAGAGCTCGAGTGCAGCCAGGTCTTACCCAAAGGGGCAGGAGACCCACTGGCTCCAGACTTCTCAGCCCAGCGGAGCCACTGAGCACAACAAAAGCATAGTAACTCCAGGTTCCACAGTTTCATGAGAAAGGTAACCCAGGTATTTCATGAGCTGCTTGAAATATTTGGAGACTGAATAGAATGACTGAATAAAAACCAAACTGCAAGACCAGCTGGTTCACTGCAAGATTGCTACTTTTACTCATTCCACTGACTCGGTGGCTGAAAAAAAGACTGGAAATTGTAGTCATTTTTCAAAATGACTACAAGTAACTCATCTGGCTGTACCAAGAACAGGAAATTGCAGTGGGATCATTTCTGCAAAGGCGAGCTGTATGAAACATAACTTATCAGTATAACTTGTCCAATTAAAAAATGAAATAATAGCTGAAAGCAACCAAAACATCAGCACGTTCTTTCTCAGCTTAGCATATAACTACATTTGATTTCACATGGAAGGAATCGTCTCCCTACACTGTCTGCTTCTACATAGTGACCTGCAGCAATCATGTTCTAAAACCTCAACTTAATGTACTATCAAGCCTGAGTAAGGTGGGAACAGCCAAAAAATGGGGGACAATAGAGAAAGATGTCTCTAATGTGTAACATTCTGCTTTGTTAGATGTAAAAATACAAAATGCACAATCATAAAAGAACAAAATACAAAATCTTATTTGTGCCTTCTCCTCACTGAGAACATACAAGAAGAATGGGCCGTTTCCCCTGTCCTGCTTCCTGCACTTTCCCCAGTACTAACCCACTAACATTCCGGTTCCAGCCTTCCTGGATCAGCAATCAGTACTAATTTGTGTGGGTATGTCATTTTGCAATACATAGGAACTCTGTTTTTCACCATGGGTTACACAGGTTACTTTGTGTCATGAACTTGCTCATTGTTGCAATGGATAACTTAAAGCCAGTAAATACTAAGAATACGACTGAAGAAGGGACTTATGTTGCATTCAAATACTATTAAAGGATGTTATTTGATAAATATTAAAGTAAAACTGAGAACTCCTCATTTCCTGTCAAATCCCGAAAGTATCTAACTCCTTGTCAGCATCATTATTCTAGTTTTCTAAGGAAATGAGTTTGTAAGATTGCACTGTCTGTCTGCCTTCTCATGATGGCTTCTTGGGCCAGTTCACACCATATTTGTAAGATGGCTGAAGTTGCAATGATAATTCTGCTCATGTATGTTTCATAAAAAAATTAAAGATGGTATGACTATCAAGCCTAAGTGAAAGCAATGGACCTAAATACCCAAAACATCAGCAGGAATTTTGTGGTTGTCAGCAGGTTATGTGGGAGTCCCACTTGCAACTTGAAATTCTAGGAAACTCTAGGAAATTGCCTTGAATTCTGTTTTGAAGTATCCTCATCTCTGTACAGTCCAGTGAGTCTAGGAATCTAACATCAAACTCTGCACTGCAAGGCAGGATCAAAAAATTATGCACTGCAACACATGAAAGACATGCCTATATGACACTAGTCTGAACAGATGCAACCCCTTTCATCTGCTGGAGGAAACCCTCTGCTGTAAAGCTGAAGTAACTAAGAGATGACAAGAAGGTAGTGCCTCATCTGTTCAAGGTTGTTATAGTCCTACTCTTTTTATAGTAGAGTTCAGTCAGTCTCTTAATTTTAGCTCAAAATATAATCTTGTTTCTTGATTGATGGCATGTATCTTCATATTCTTAGTAGAAAGATTGGTCAGAGTTCTTGAACACTGGCTTTGAAATTTTTACCATTTTCTTTTGGAAGAAAAAGAGACAATTTTATTGTTAAGAAACATTGCTTTATTAATTATTGCACACATATGTATGTGTGTTTTTATATATAAATGTACAAATACACACAAAATACAGTATATATCGGTGCATATATTTAGCACAGATATATAATAATATACATATATAATATTACAAATAGATAGCTTCAGATATAAACTTACTTTTGTTTGCTGTTTTTTGTTTGCTTGTTTTTAATTAGGTAAATCTATTAATCACATACTTCCAGACTTCGCATGATGTTGTGATATTCAGATTGGAGACAGCTTCAAAAATGTGCAAAGTGAATTGTGAATTTTCCCAGACAGATTAGGTATGTACTTAAGTTTTATAAACCTGTTCTTAACCCTCTTTTTCAAATCTCCTTTTCTAGGAGCTCCATTAAAGCATGAAGAACAATAGTTTGATTATAACTGCTGTAAAACAAAGAGCTGAGTGAAGTCTTGGAGTGCTGTTGCTCTGGGCAAGTTCTGGAGCAGAGAACAATTTAACACAGAAGCTTTCAGCCAAATTTTGACTGGAAGACAGAAAGATGCCTAAATACATTCAGTTACCAGCCACAAAGCTGGTATATGATACAATTAACAAGAAAAGATGTATCCCCAGTCTGACATTCTGTGTGCTCTGACAGAACTGAAACCTGCAAGGGAGACATGCATGGAAAAGCAGAGGTTTGTCAGCGCAAGAATGACTTTCCCATATCATCTCCTTTAGGGCAAAACTCTTAAGATCTAATTTTCTATGGACTTCTATAAGTGTGGCCATGCTGATATTAACATTTTGGCTTGGAGCAGCAGTGTATTGCTACACAGATCTCCTGGTTGCTCCTTTCTTGTACTTGGATTAGGTTTAGAATGTATTAAAGTAGGAACAAGGGGAAGCTTTGATTTATTGATCTCTTCCTACTGCACATAATTCTTTGCCAATATAGATACAATCTGTGAGGCCCCAGAAAGGCACTCCTGAACACACTGGTGTTACATGGATCTACTCTCCACAGCCACGCAGGACATGAATGAAACTTTGCAAAGGTATGGGTAACTTTGAAATAACTTCTGTTTGAAAGCAACTGCAACCTGTCAAGCATGACAATATATTCGTAATTTTCATACTCTTTTGCTGTTCCTGTACTTCTGAATTCTCTGTGACCTTGTAAGCTATGTCTGCTCTTTTGGAGATATACAAACAGGCTATAGATGCATGGCTAGTCTGCTTAGGAGTCTGATAAACTAGCCTGTGTGAACTGCATACTATCTTGACTGCCTTTTGGTTGTTTTGTAGGATAAAGAACCTTAATGCAAAGCTCATTCCAGAGTCTTGTGATTAGCCCACTGTCTCTGTTGTCAGCACAGCCCCATTGGAATGCTCTCAGGTTTTGGTCCTAAACGGAGCAGAGCTGATACTCTGAGGAAATTACTAAAAAAAGGAAAGCAGACATGATGTTGCAGCAATACTTGGAGATTTCGTTATCTGTGCAATTAAGTGGTATGAATATTTACCACAGAGGAAAAAAAAAAATTGCATGTTGTGTAGCTCCACATCCATTGGCACATACCTGAATTTAGCATGTACTTTCCTAAAAGACTTTCATGGATATGTAGTGCAGAGCTCTCCACACCTTCAAACCAGATTTCTCATCTGTATGTATTATATAAATACCACATAGAAATTTGGACACAATTGTCTCGTAGTCATTTGATCCAACCATTCATATTACCTGGAACAGTACAAACAAATGAAGACAAAAAATAAGTTGTGGTCACACTACAGTTTGAATGCACTCCACTGTTCTGAATTCAGAGCAACAACATTACATAGCTTACCTTACATTCTGATGAATACCTTATATTTTGATGATCTGTTTATGCTAATATTCATGGTATTTTGTTTTCATAATATTTGTAGTCAGTTGCTTGGCTATATGATCTTGGGGATTGTCTATACAGTTGACTAGGAGATACAATTCCTGGTTTATTCTGAGAATTCTGAGCCACTCTTCAGTGTCACTCCATCTCTGGGCACATTTTTTCCAGAGATTCCAATGAAAGTGTAGAGTAGTAGCAACTGCTAAGAAGCATAATCTATCTTTTTGTTAGAGGAGTTTCCAAAGGATCCAGACCATTCTATGAAAAATGTAAACATTTCAAATTTTCTTTTTGGTCTCACTTTGGCAAAATAACACTTTGGGGTGGCCCACAAAAATATCAGAAAGGCCTTATAAAACTGGTGTGCCAGTATGTGTCATTTTAATTCCTTCTATTTACAGAAATCCATCAGGTGCTTTGCATGTATATTTATGGCTTTTTAGAGAAAGAATCAAATGGTTATTTACATTCATGTGAAATGTTTTCATTCCCCTGAATCACCACGTTCTAACAGAATAGTTTTCTAAAAGAAAATTCTCAACACTCTTTGTTCCCAAACACTCCTTATCAATGTTTATTGAACATTCTTGTCCTATACACCTTTGGAAATCCTATTATTTTTCTTGGTCTGGTGCTTGGTTATGATTTAGGATGTTTTTCTAGCTTACACCGCTTACCAATTCAAACTGTGAAACACTGTGAAAAATATGTTGTTTGAACCAGTCTGAATCTCTGGATTTCTAATCCTGTTGGTTGAGTGTACTGAACTTTCTTTCCCTAAGCCTCTCTCACATTTCATTTGGAAGGAAGGCAATAGTTCTCCTTTTTAAGCAATTAGAAATTTATCACAAATTGTGATACTTACTGTCAGTTAGTCATCTGTTGATGTTGTGCAAGCATGAAAAGGGCCAGTTCTAGCAATATTCACCAGAAAGTTATGCTGAGCAATTAACAAGATACAAGGAAAACTGCTATGTTGTTCTGTGTTCTTTGTCCAATCTTTGCTGTCAAGTATTTTCCAATACGAAGTCTCTGTTACTAGGTTGAAAAACAGACTTTGCTGTTTTTTTTTTTTTTTTTTTGTTTGTTTGTTTGTTTTTTGTTTTGTTTTGTTTTGTTTTGTTTTTTGTTTTTTGTTTTTCTTCCCCTTTTCTAACCCACCCTGCACTATAATTTTAAATGAACTGAAGGATGGCTTGACAGGCAATGGTCACATGAATACTGCAGATGATTTTTTTGTGTGTGTTTGGTAGGATCCTAAAGAGGCTGTTAAACTGTCTATGCAAGTATGGTCTTCTGTCCAACAGAGACTAAAAGAACAAAAATTTACACTGTTATAATAACAGATTGTGGTATTCAGTGCATTTCTTTCTGCCCTCATGAACATCTTTTTTTTTTTTTTTTTTTAAATTAAAATATTTCAAGGAAGCTTTTGGCTCTGACACAGCTCTTGTTCCCCCCCACAACCTCATGCACAGAAGAAAGGGCATACCTGCTGGAAACTACTGAGGAGGTGGTGGAGCACAGCACAACTTTCCACTGCTCATCCCCACCTCTTGCAAGGGGGTGTTCAGCTTGGCAGAACCTGGGAGGAAAGGCCTGTCTCAGTCCTCACAGAAATCACTCACTGCCTGACTAGAAGGTGCATAAGATGCACCTTTCCAAAACTTTCTTGTATGAATGAATCTAAAAGGAAACTAGTTAAAGATCCCCTATCTCCTCCACATCTTTATGCCCCTTTGTTCCTTGCTTGCCTGCAGCTACCATTTATGATGCACTCTCATGTATATTGCATTTGAGAGCATTTGAGAGCTGCATGGAAAAACTTTGCCAAAAAGTGCACTTGGGGACAGTGGAAACTATTTGTGAAATTTTGTGAAATTGGGTCTAAATCAGTAAATAGTTTCAAGCAAAAAGGCAGTTTGCATTTGAATTCTTCAGATGAAGCTGAAGGTTTGAGTTGCCAAAAAACAGTAATAAAATAAAATAAAATAATAAAATCAGAACATATTCAGTTACATTTTCTAAGAATTACCACTTCTCAATCTGAAACATATGATTTTACTGGGTAAAGTATCTTCTAAAAGAAATATTTCTTAATCAACTAATCACATTGTTTCAACTTACTTAACAGCCAAATGAGCTTAGTCAGATATTTGATTAAAACAAAGAAATACAAAAAACAAACGTGATAACAAAATCTGTTGTGAGTAGCCAGAAAAACTTGGGATTTTTTGAACTTAATTTTTTACCTACAGAAACTCAAGCTTACATGTCTGCTGTGGAGAACACTTCTAATCCTCCCTGATGTTTCTTGTGATCATTCTCTGATTTGAAGCTAAGCAGAAGCACATATTTTGTAAATACTGGGACTCAAGAAAAAGTCCTAGAAGACCATTGTAGTTGAAGATAGTCCATAAACAAAGAAAAGGCATCATGATTATCATGAACGAAACCAGCCGAAGGCAGTCACGTAGATTTAATAAGGTGGTGAAGATGACAGCTGTAAAAGCATCCACTCATCATGTGGCTACATTGCTACTGCCACAGTGTAGCCTTCTGCACAATGTCCACACCATCTGTTACTGTTGCAGATTCTTCACCTTCTGTGGTACAAGGCACCAAATGAAGCTCTTCACTTCTTCCAGTGCAGTATGCAAATATAGCTCCATGGATTATTCTAATTTATGATGATGAAAAACTTGCAAATAAGAACAAGAACTGAGATCGTTATCAATGACATAGATGATGAGTTCAAGTGCATCCTCAGCAACTCTGCTGATGACACCAAGTTGAGAAGTGCAGTTGATACAATAGCAGGAAAGGATGACATCCAGAGGGACCTGGACAGGCTTGAAAAGGGGTCCCATGTGAACCAAGTGAGGTTCAAAAGGCCAAGTGCAAGGTGTTGCACATGGGTCAAGGAAATCTCAGATATGTGTGCATACTGGGAGAAAAATTCCTTGAGAGAAGACCTATGGAAAGGACTTGAGGTCCTGCTGAACAAAAAACTGGACATGAGCCAGCCTTGCACACTTGCAGCTTGGAAAACTAGAAGGGAGGCCAGCTCCTGGGAGAGAAAACTGATTGCCCCTTGTTCTCTGCCCTTTTGAGGCACCTCCTGCAGTACTGCACCGAGGCATGAGGCCTCCACCACAAGAAAGATTCAGAACATTTGGAACAGATCCAGAGGAGGGCCTCAAAGATTATTAGAGGGCTGGAGCACCTCCTATGAAGAAAGGTTGAGATAGATGGGTTTGTTTAGCTTGGAGAAGTCCTTGGGGAGACCTCATCATAGCCTCCTAGGGCTTGAAGAGAGCTTATAAAAAGAGGAAGACCAGCATTTTACATGGGCAGATAGAACAAGGGAGAGTGGTTTAAAACTAAAAGAGTCTAAAATTTAGATTAGATATTAGAGGGGAATTTTTTACTCAGAGGGTGGTGAGGTGCTGGCACAAGCTGCCCAGACAAGCTGTGGATGCCCCATCCCTGGAGGTGCTCAAGGCCAGACCTGGGCATATCCTAGTCTAGAAGGTAGCAACCCTGCCCACGGCGGGGCATTGGAACAAGATGATCTCTAAGTTCCCTTCCAATCCAAACCATTATATGATTCTGTGATGGTTCCATTGCCCCTTTAGTGACAATTCCTTACCCAAGTCTTGGCCAGATTTTGTTAATTGAAGACAATCTGATTCAGCTATTAGGAGGAAAATAAGATTTCCTAGTATATATTTGTAAGAAGACAGAAAAGAAAATAGTATATTAAAATGTCAGACACTTGCCAGTCAAAAATCCAGAGGAAAATAAACAATTTTTTATGTCTCTTCCAAAAAAAAGCAGTCTTAACACAGTCCTCAAGTTTATACTCTAAATTAAAAAATCACCACAGCAAGCAAGCAGGAGTTGAGAGCATTTTTCGCCTACAGGAAAAAGAAAAGTAAATGCATTGCGCTCTGTACCTGGATTGGCAGTGTGGACGCATATACACTTTCGTTATGGAAAATTGCTTACCTAATCAGCATGACCATTTTCATCACAAAAACATTGTGTTGTTTTCCATTCAAAAGAATCAAGTCAAACTGACCCTTTATTAACAGCTTAAAGATCAGCAGAAACGATTAAGAGAATCAACCTTACGTAATCCTCAGCCAATGCCTGAGATTGAAGTCTTGCTCAGCATTTCCATGCCAACTTTAGCAAAACAAGTTTTTTCAGGAGGCTGTGCTTGCGTTCACTTTCCAGATGTAGAGCTGAGACAGGTGAAAACAACTTGGGAAGTGGGACAAGGAGGAGCCATTAGAATATTTACTGATCTTGGTTGGATTAAATGTACTTTTATTATTATCTTATTTTTTCCTTGGTTTAAATAAAGGGCGAAAGACACACCGCTTTTAATTCAGTTACTGTTAAGATGAAAACAATAATTATTTAAATTATAATTTGAGTGGAACTGCTTTCACTGGAACTGCTTTCACAAATACTCTGTGCTCTCAATCTTTGAGCTTTCACAACACTTCAAAGTGTTTGCTGGTGTGGATTAACCAGTTGAAATGTATCTATAACCTCTTCTCTTCCCCAACAGTAGGCAGATTTATCTTAGCCAATATACAAGCATCTTCACTGAAGATTTGCAGCTCATCTTTGTTTGTTAAATATGATTATGTCTATATTCCTAATCAGTACCAAGCATTCTGTGGAAAAGGCGGGCTTTGAGTAGAGTTCTTTACAGTACAGAGGAAAAAATCCAGAGGAAAAAAAATCTGCAACCATGTGCAGATTGACTGCCACTAGAACTAATTTGATTCATGGCAGAGCTGGAAGAAGATTTCTGATCAGGAAAGAAAAACTTCTCAGCTTAAGGTGAACCATTACACTAATGATCTGCAACACATCTAAACTCTTACTTGGATTCAATAGTCACTATTCAGATTGCTGTTAATGTATCTAATGCACTTTTGTAAACTTGGACATCCACAGCACTTGTTGCTGTATGAACAGAATTAAAACATAATGCATTTATCAGCAGAGTACAAAGAAAAGTAGGAGAAAAGTACAAGAGAGTGGAGTTTGCTGACCATCCCAATGCCAATGATTGACCTGAGATGTGGCATGCAACAGAATGTCTCTATTCTCCCACCATGGCCACTCTGCTGCCTGTAGCAGAAAACTGAAACTCTTGCGAGCTCTGTACACTCTTGATATTTTCAGCAAAAGGTCATATTTCACTAGGCATATTGAAATGAAGTAGTCATCTAATTCCTTTATTTTAAAGAGGAGAAAATATTCTTTGAACAGCATTCACAAGCAGTGAAATGTCTCTGTTAAACAAGAACAGAAGGTATGACACGTAAAACACTTAAACATGTATGTCCCTGTTACTAATTAATTATTAAAGGATTGCAGAAAGAGTACATTTTCCCTCACTATTGATGATTCATAAAAGACACCTACAGTAAACAATAGTTCTCCTATTTGGAAACTGGGTACATAATGCAGATCTAAAGAAATAAACTAAAAATTAGAGCATTAGTGTAAATATGTAGCTGTTGTTTTCAGGCTGTTACACTGAAGTCTGTTCACCTGTAGTATTGCATTAATGTGATTCAGTTTAAATTTTACTGCTGGATTGCCTCTCTCCTAAGAACATCTTCTCAAGGTCATTCATTCCCATTTTAAACCCAAAGATCTGCAAGCTACTTCTTGTGTATTATTGCTTGGATATAAATTTAGTATGGGTAATATTTTGAAAAACAAGGAATAACTTCTATAGATGAATTTGCCAGAATGTATATGAACTAATTTGGGACTTACTGCCACATGGTTTGTGAGTGGGAGACAATGCAGCAGACAGGCAAGGAGGCAGGGTCTTCGCAGTGCACAGATGGTCCAAAGGAGCAAAAACTTGGCTCAGCAAGGAATTCCAGATGGATCAGTTGAAGCTGGTATGTAGAGTCCTGCAGAACTGGTATGGAGAAGTGATTTTTGCTCCAGGCCAGCACTTTATCCTATTCCCTTGTGCAAACTGTGTATTAGGAGATAGAGTGAACACGTGAACATCTGTAAGGCAGTAGTTCATTGC